AGTTGACATGATTATTGTCTTGTTACCAAACTCGTTCGATTCTGTTATAGTGAACTAAATAAGGAATCAGTTTGAGTTCACAGTCGCTGATATTCTTATAGAATTGGTAACAGATGAAGGGATAATCAAGAGTATGGGCGTTCCTATCAATCTAACCTAGTCTATACCATCTTCTTCTAGGCCCAAGTGGACGGGCAAAGCAAAGAAGAAGGATGATAATAGGACTAGGCTAGCACAAAACATAGGTATCTAAAAGGTTAAAGGGAATAAGGCAGTGTATGTTAAGGGCGAATGAAATTGTTTCTTTTGCCGTTAACTAAGACACTAAAGGACAAACTGTCTAAGCAATGACGTGGCATAGGAAAATATATATTTAATCATTGAGCCATGTTATGTGGTTGTATCTATTGATTCCTGATGGATAGATTCTGGAGCCACTAAACATGTTTGCAATTTATTGTAAGGATTTCAGGAATCCAGAAGCCTTGATGATATGGGTATATATTTATCTTTTGACCTGATGCCAAGGTTGTAGCTAAGTCAGTGGGAGTATTACATCTGAAATTAGAGAGTATGAGGATATTAGTATTAGAGAACTATCTTTATGCACAGAAGTGAAACGCAATCTCATTCTTATTTCACTTTTGGCTTATAAAAAACTAGATCGTTATTTTGTAAAACTGGTTTTATAAAATTGAATAGATATGTGATTGCTTCTGGTGTATTGAAAGATGGTTAATATACTATAATCACAAGCTCTTAAGATTTGCAGGATGTAGAAACTAATGTTGCATCTTCTAGATTGAATGTTAAGAGAAAATTTGTTATTCCTGACTCATTGTATTTTTGGTGTCTATTTTTGGGTTGTAATCAATCAAAATGAGATTTAAAGATTGGTTAAAGAAGGTTTATTACCTAGTGAGGCAGAGGAGCCTAAACCAAACTTGTGAATCTTGTTTTGAAGGATAGATAACTCTAAGGGCTTAATCAGCCAAATGAAATAGACATAAAGAACAATTGGAGTCGGTACACACGTACACGTGTAGTCTTATGAACATCCAATCAAGATTACTCACGTTTTGGATAAATTTACCTGTTGCGACACAAGTCTTATACTTTTGGTATATTCCGAGAGGGTCAAGACTGATGTGGAGCTCAGATTAGGTAAACTTATCAAGACACTTCGATCTGATCGAGTATTTGAGTATTTCTTGGGATAGTGCAAAGACTATATGGTCAATGAGGGTGTTGTGTACCAGTTTTTCGCAATTGACGCTAAATTAATTTAGGTGTCAAATAAGAATAACAGAATTCCACTTAACATGGTTAGATCTATGATCAGTTATGCCACATTATCTCTTTCATTTAAGAGTTTAGCGTTAATGACATCGATACGCATTATGAACTGCATTCCATCTTAGTCTGTCTAAAGGATACCGTTGAGCTGTGTTTTTGACTAAATATTAGTTTGAATCATATGCACATATGGGGTAGTCTTGCACACGTGCGTTTGATATGGACAAGTAAGTTGGAATCAGATCATAGGCATGCTAGATTTGATAGCTACTCTAAATGTCACTAGGATGGATTATTTTATGATCTTAAAGATAAAAGTTGATTGTTTTCACTCACTGTTTATCTATAGGAGAATCATATTATGAATCACATACCTAGTAGCATAATGTTAGAGAATTTGGTATGAGTACCAGATGTACCACATGTGAACACACTTATTATAGAGATTGAGAATAATATATGAATTCCCTATTGATGCGTTAGCATCATCTACTACACAGATTCTTGCATCGGTACATTGATGTAGTGGGAGGATTATCATCCAATTCGACAGAATCATGTTTTTAGGTGAGACCATTATGGACATCCCTGTTAAACATGAGTTGGACCCAGTAAGCTACACGGAAGCGTGAACTGATGTGGATACAGATCGTTTTGGTGAGTTACTATGAAATCAGAGTTGGAATCTTTGTATTCTAATAAATTCTGGGATCTTGTAGAACTTTCTAGTAGGGTGATTCCTATGGAAGGCAAGTTAATCTACAAAAAGATACCAGAAGATTTCTTAGTGAATAAATCATGAGTGTACAAGGGAATGTCATTATTTTTCTTAATTCTATATATTGATGACATCCTACTCATTTATAATGACGTGGAAGTTTTGTCATCAATTATAAGGTAGTTGTTCAATTACTTTTAAATGAAGGATTTTCAAGATGTAAGCTATATTCCTAGGATCAAGCTTTTGCAAGATCAGGTTAAAAGGAAAATAGGCTTATCTTAATAATCCTACATTGATAAAGTTTTGACCAGGTTTGGTATGCATAACTCAAAGAATGAGTTCTTGCTTTATTGATATGGATCGCTCTATCTAGTAAGTAGTTTTTCAAGACTAGCAGAGGAGATTGAGCAAATGAGACTGGAACAATATGTTTCGGCATATGAGAGTCTCATATATGCCATGGTCTATACCAAACAGGACATCCGCTACATGGTAGGGATAGTCAGTAGAGATCAGTCCAATACTGGACTTGATAACTGGTCTATTGTGAAAAATATCATTAAGTACCTAAGGAGAACCAATGATATCATATTCATTTATGGATGTAATGATATGGTCCTAGTCAGGTATGCTAGTTCTGATTTTCAATCAGAAGTAGATACTATGAGGTTCATGACTTAGTGTATGTTCACTTAATGGAAGGGAAATCAGTTGGTAGATTGTCAAGCAGATTTCAACTGTTGACTCAAACCTGCAGGTGGAACATATTGCAGCCTTAAAGGTGGCAATATAAGCCTATTGGTTTGATCTCACTGATTTAGAGGTTGTGGAGCATACTAGCCTGCCTATCGAGCTATATTGTGACAATAGTGCAGAAGTAGTCCAAACCAATGACCCAAGGTTCCATAGAGGAACAAGATACACTGAGAGGAAGTATCATGTTCGACATGATATTGTCCGGCAAGAAAATGCACTTGTAGTTAAAACATTGCATTGGAACACAACTTTGTTGATCCATTATCAAAGGTGTCATTGATCAATAATTTTGATCATCATCTGGATAACATTGGAGTTAGGTGCAATTTGAATTGGCTATGAGGGCAAGTGGGAGCTGTTGGGATTTATATGCCCTAGCATAGCAAATTCCTATCTGGATTGTATTGACATATGTTCCTGACATATCTGAAATATTTATGATTTATATAATTGGTGAATTCAATGTATTATGTTTCAATTCACTATGAAATTGATAGTGTCCAGTTAATTACAAGAAATATTTATATATATGTATGTGATGACAATCAATGCATGATATATAAATAGTAATTATAAATTGTTCATAGTCGGTAATTATGGATGGACTCATAATTAATTAAGACTTGAACTGGATCCGCGTTAGGTTGAGATATATTGCGAGAGCCGTCGTATGCAATTACTCCCTATCACCGTCATGGCATTTGACTCTTAAGCATGAGAAAAGTATAGACTCTTTTATTAATTAATAATTACTTTGATTTGTTCGGCGGATTCTTCGGGATCCTTAGACCGACACTTTGGGTAGTTATGTAATTAATAGTTAGAGGGTTATATTTTTAATATTTGCATCATTGCTACTTGTATTTATTTTGTATTGATTATGGTTGATCACAAAGTAAATTCGAAGGCCTTCGTGTGTTTTTAGACAAAATGATTTATTATATATTTATTTATTTAAATTATTATTTTTGTCAAACAAATGTTTTATTGTGATCGAGCCAGAAATAATCAAAGGTACCAAAATAAATATATTAATTAAGTAGTCGGATTGATGGCTATATTTATCCGATAACTAATTATGCATAGAGGGGTCAAAGTGCAATATTGACTTAGATGTTATTTATTATTTAATTGGAGTTCAATTAATTTCTTTTAGTGGAGTAGAAATTAATTTATGAATTAATTGAATTGGGTCCATGGACCGGGCCAATTATTAATTCATTGTAGCCAATAAAATAATAGGCCCAATGGATTCTCACTCATAGCCCAACTTGATATTGGAATCATATTAGATTTGAGACATATGAATTAGAGATGGAGAAGGATTTGTTGTTTCCTTTTCTTTATTTTTATGTTGCCTATAAATATACATGGTCTATGTATATTTTAAAGGGGTGATTTTTATGAGAAGGAAAAAGGAATAAATTTTCTCTCTCTAGAAAATTAGGGTTTATGTTCTCATCTAATAGAGGCTCCCACAAGCCTAGTTTTCCAAGGTCATTCAAGGAGGCTTATGAGTGATTCCTAAAGGCAAGACCATTACCAAGAAGATGGAGATCCATGGAAAAGATGTCTAGCAAAAGGGATTTACAATAAGTGAGAACATTCACTTTAGATGAGAGATCTGAGGTTTACTCAAACCTTGATGTAAGTATTCAATCTTTTAGTTGAATAATACATCATATTTTATTTTATTTTTTTGCATAAAACTTGTCTCTATGTGATGAATCAAGATCTATGAATTTAAATCCCTCGAAAAGTTTTTAAAACTAGCACGTTTCCCAACAGTGGAGTCATTGGGTCTCTATTATCGTACTGATTAATGGACCTTTCGAAATTTAAATGTTAATAAATAGGCAAAATATTTGTCTACAACTATCCCTCTAGGATGAGAGACATTTTCAATATCCGTAGGTGAATATGAATGCTTAGTGTGTAATCCGAGTGAGGATGAGAGACATTTTCAACTCTCCACAATATATGTGGCTCCGCTTGAGAGCGTAGTAAGGAATTTTATAGGAGAAAATTTTCCAAGATAACTGATAAAGTTAACGACCCCTAATTTAGGAACTAGGATAATTCAAGGAGAATTATGAACAACAAAATTTGAATGAGATTTATGAGCTGCAACTGATTTATGAACAAGGAAGAGTTATGAGAAGGAGGAAGCATCGGAGGAAATTGCAAGACACACAAACTCATCAACACAATAGAAAGAAAAATAAAATTGTACAATATTAAAATATACTTGATTGATCACAAATTGGTATTCTTAAATAAATACACACTCAAATAGTAATCGAAATTTAAATGACACCATAATATATACAACTTTATCTACCAAGTCGACTAAGGAGTAATAAGTTTATTTTTATTTTTTCTTTGTTTTCTATAAACAAAACTCTCATGCACGTTTAGAAAATTACTTGTCAGTCAATGTGCCCTAAGTTCACCCCTCACAATGCCTCTCTAGATGAATCAAACAAAGTACCAAAATCAAGCAAGTTGCTTCCATTTTTACATAACCATAATGAACTGAAAAAGGTCCTGCAATTCCCTGTCACCACTTGTTTCAATCTTTGCCCATACCCATGGTGTAGTTGTGGAAAAATTCTAAAATACTCGGATACCGTATTACTGAGCTTATAGTTCTCGAATGTGATGATGAGACAAATCGAATACGGTACTCAGAATATTGTAGAATTTGTCCTGGTCCATGTATATATATATATATATATATCTTGGGTCCGAGCCGCCTGCTCAGAGTGTCGCTTTCACGTGCGGTGCCCGCGCCATTTTGAGGAATAAAAATAAGCTCGGCCTTGGACTTATCACATAGCTTGCAATTGCTTCAGATCAGGGGCATCCTCAGACACCCTCCAAACCTTCACAGACTTGTCCAAACTACCACTGTATACTATCCACCGCCCATCTTCTTTGGACCACTCCTGATCACGATCTTCCTCCACGGCCAAGCACTTCACGGGCCCACCGTGACCCGTCAGCACACACAAACACGTGTGGACCCCACCCTCCCCCATCCTCCTCCACACGCAGATACTCTTGTCCGCCGACCCGCTCAACACCAAATTACCAGCCGCCGCCAAGCACAGCACCGCCCGCTTGTGGCCGCGAAGCACCCCGACGTGCGCCGACATCAACTGCTTCCCACGTTCCCAGAAGCTCACCAGCCCGTCCGACGACCCACAGTACGCCACACCCCCACTCACCGCCAACGACGTCACCGCGCTGTCATGATTTAGAAGTACCTGCGCCAGAGTGTGCTTTGGTTTCTGTTGTTCTCTTTGCCAGACTTTCACCGTCCCGTCTGCGGAGCCGGTGAAGACAAGTCCCTCGAACCCGGCCACCGCCACCGAATTCACTGCGTCATCATGAGCGTCTATAGACTCCAAGCATTTGGAGTCGGAGATTCTCCACACTTTTAGGGTCTTGTCCCATGAGCCGGTATAGAGCAGGCCTTGCTCCTCGTCCAGGCTCATGCATGACACGGCGTCGAAATGCCTGATCCACGGAACGTTCCGGTGGCGGCGTACTCTGACATAGTTCCTGGGCCTGATGGAGCTCTTGATGAAGTCTCTGACTGTGGGTAAACTGCCCACGCGCTTGTACGCCGCCTTCCGGTTCGTCTGACAAAATCTCCAGACTCGAATCTTGCCGTCCTGGTGGCCGGTGAATATCTTATTACTGTTGCCCGAGACAACAATCGCTTTGACCAACCCACTGGTTTTGAATCCGGAAAATTCTTTTAAATTCCTCCAAACTCTTACGTTCTTGCTGTCGGAACCTGTGTACAAGAACGCACCGGATGTTGCTAAAGAATATACGTGACCTTCTTCACGGACAAGGGAACCGATGAGCCCATGGGCATCATGTTGACGAAAGTCGAAGCCTGAGTTTGAGGGAGATGGTTGAGTCCACCAGGGTGATTTGATATAAGGTGAAGCTAAGTGGTTCCACGGCGACATGAGATCGTAGGGAAGAGGAAAGTTAGTACTGCTCAGGCCGTCGTCGGCGGAGGCATTGCTAGTTCGGTTTGAGAAATGATTGTTGTTGTTGTTGTCGTCGTCGTCGTCGTTGTCTTCTTGATCTGTCAAAATAGTGGGATCATCGGAACGCAAGAAGTTTCCCAATTTTTGCCTCCGGAGAACATTTTTCCCAGACATTGGATCCCGAAAAGATATATACATGTATATATGTATATATATGTCCGTAGGATCAAAACTGAGTGGGAATTGAGAGTTTTAAGAATGAAAGAAGTGAGAGAGCCTTTGATATATGTAGAGATCGAGGAATAGGTATTGAGAAAATTGAATGCTTTGTGAAGGAGAATGAACTATATATATACACAATGTGGTCCGAACAGTGGGTGGGGTATTAGGTTGATGAAGGGTGTGAAATGAGGACACGCGTTTGGGGGTGACGTATACGTGATCGTTATGAAGATAAATAATATACTCCAGTATATGTGTTGCCTTTGGGAAACCGGGTGTGCCGGTAATAGAAAGGACCACCTGCCAAAAAAAATCATAATGGAAACAAAGGGTATTTAATTATCGTTTGACTTCGACTAGATAGAGTTTGGATGTTTAATTTACATGGATGACACGTATCAACGAAATTAATCTTATCATCAATCAAATGAAATCAATACTAGTGTTATTAATAATTGGACCAAACTACCCCCACTTACAACACTAACAAAAAAAAAAAAAAAAAAAAAATTAATATACTTGTCATTTGATAATATTTAAATAATTTATACTACAATTGTATAAAAGTAAAAATAAAAATAAAAAAATTAAAGCTGATGGTTCAATATGTAATGTAAAATATTCATATAATTTTTTAAACTTTAGAATTTACAGAATTCACAAGCTATATATTAAATACAGGGTTAAGTATAAAAAACAACCCGCTATATAAAAAAATGTGCAGGAAACTCCCTATTAAAAAAAGGATTAATTATACTTGCATCTTCTGAGATTTGTCTTATTGACAGTTAAATGAATATTAGACATTTTTTAAATAATAACACCCTGTCAAATTTTGAGTCCAAACAGAGTTTAAAAAGGAATAAAATGCTTACATTACCCTTCAAAATTTTATGGGTTAATTACAATGACACCACCTGAGATTTGCTGTAATAACAGGTATATACAAGTTGGACCTTTTTTAAACAATGACACCCCCTTAATTTGAATAAAGTTAACAAAGACACCCCAATTGATCACTGCCACATCTGATACATAATAAAATGACATTTTTGCCCTTTAACTTATGTGTTGACCAATATAATTAATGAAATTACTTTTTTAACCCTAATATAATATTTATATAATAATAAATAAATAAATAAAATATCAAACCAAAAAAAATATTAAACTAAGAATGTCGTGTATATATATATATAGAGAGAGAGAGATAGATAGATCATCACCCACCATCACCACCACTTCACCGAGTTATATATATATATATATATATATATATATATATATATATATATATATATATATACGCCCTCAAGATCATCCAGGCACAACTTCAACGGTGGCCGCAGCAGAGGCGGCACTGACACCACCGCAACTTTCACGATTTGAAGAAGCAAGGTGAAGGCTCCACGGCAATGGCTTCAAAGGTTCTAATGAGGGTTACGCTTCTTTGTTCGGCCGTAGATTCGGTTAATGGGATTCCCCTCCTGCTGGACCTGTCGATCGAGGGATCAAAAGGGCTCACAGCCTCAGTGTATGTATATATGTATTGATGGTTTTTAATTGGTTTAGGTGGGATGGCAATGGCTCCGCAACCGGTGGAGAATTAATGACCGGCGAGGCATCAAGATCTATGATGACCGGCGATTCACCGAGATATCTTTCGACATCGTTCTTGCCCAAAACGTATGGCTTGTTGATGGATCGTACAACTGATGACATGATCTGGTGGAACGAAGACTGATCAACCTTAATCATTTGGAATTTGACCGAGTTCGCTAAAGATTCTGCTGCCTTAATTCGCTAGAGATTTGCTGCCTTAATTTTTCAAACATAATAATTTTTTAACACCCATGAAATTGAGAAAATAGATGAGACAGTAGCCTTACTAGGTTTCACCATTTCTGATGGATGGGGTGAGAGGAGAGAGAGTGTGTGTGGTGAGGTTTACTATTGGTTATAAAGGCAAAACTGCCATTTAAGAATTTTAATATTTTACATTTTAATTTAATAAAATATTGAAGAGCAGTCTTGACTTTTCACCTCTTTTAAAGGGCTGTTTAGATCTAATTTCTAACATGGGGTATCATTGTTCAAAAAAAAGCTTAACTTGTATATAACTGTCATTACGACAAACCTTGGGGGTGTCATTGTAATTAACCCAAATTTTATTAATATTTTATTTAAAATATCATACTCATTAAATGACAAAAATGTCCTTCTTTGGAGGAAAAAAACAATATCAACCCATCTAACTATACTTTCTCTCTCTAACTTCCCAATCTCCTTCATCACCACTCACTCTCTCTCTCTCTCTCAATCTGAAAATCTAATGCAAGCACCATCTCTCTTCTATATATATATATATATTATACTTTTAGTCTTTTTGGCACTTGCATTTCCATTAGGTAATTAAAAGATTATTTTGTTCCGAAAATTAGAAAAGTGATTTGATGGTGAAGAAAACACCCTCATTCTTTAATTAGGATGAGCCTTTACTTGCAAATTTGTTGGCATATTAACAGACAAACAAGGTAAGCAACTGATTTGAACGCTTGTTTTTTTCATTTCTCGCTACGATACAAATTTGGACCTTTTTCATTTTTAACATGGACAGAAATGACAATTGATATTCAGGGATAAAAAGAATAGAAAGAACAATAAATCATATATCACAATAAATAATTATATGAAAAAACATGTACATATGCGTTAATGTATTACATATAATACATGTCTTTGAACAATATGCCACAGTATTTCCTTTTGCATTGAGTTAAATATGCATACACGAGAGATAGTTGGGTTTGTTTTGTTTTTTGTTTTTGTTTTGTTTTTTATTATTTTTTATTGCATATAATAGATAACTTTGTCAGTTTGGTCGCAGAGAAAATTAGAAGGATTAAAAAAAATAAAAAATTAGAAGATACAGCATTGTTTTTCTTCTGAAATTATTTAGTATTTACAATTTTTTTTTGGGCATAAAGGGCGATTAAGAGGACAAAGAGTGTGCGTGCATATATATATATATATATATATATATATATATATATAATATTGCAAGTTTGTTTATTTGCTTCTTAGAGTAAAATGGTAACTTCATTATTCAAATTTATCAATTCACAAGTCAAAGGATAATAGGGTCAATTTTCTTTGGGTCATTGTAAACTTTACCAAACCTAAAGGAGTGTCACTATTCAAAAATGAGTCAACTTTCATCTGGCTGTTAATAAGATAAACCTCAGGGGGTGTAAATGTAATTAACACCAGGAAAAAAAAAAAAAAAAAAGTGCATATAACTCCTTGTATTATCTATCTTTTGAGCAAATTGCCCCTTACTCATCAATTTTGACCAAATTTTTTTTTTACAAAAATCCCAAAATACCCTCCCTGATGTAAACGGGAAAAAAACAAGAAAAAATCCAACACCCCTCCTCTTCTAGGAAACCTATTTCCTAAACCAGCAGTGCAGTGGGAATTACACGGCTGGCGACGGCTGAAGCCGTGAGCTTGGCTCAGGACTCGTCGGGAGGTGGAGGTCCTCGACTACCGACGGTAGTTTTTGGAACTCCTCGCAGTCGATGTAGATGAGGTTCATGTAACGGTTGAAGGCCGTGAATTTTTCTGACAAGTTGGTGTAAGTACCTGATTTTTTTGTCAAACTAAAAATGAAATCGTATCCGGGAATATCACTAAAAACAATATGAGGAATACAGAATAATGGATTAAGGAAGGGAAAATCAGCCCAAATTGAGAACTGAAAGCGATGGTAGAGAAGAACGAAGTCTAGAGTATGACAGAGCCCGATTTCTTCACCCTTATTCTTTCTTTTAGCCACCTCTTTATAGCCTTAGGTAATCTAGGTTATATCTGTTGGGCCTATGGATAAAGTGAGATAGGATCCATGTCCCTTTATGGATCGTGATGCCCTAATCCCGACTTTTTCGGACATGCTGTCAGGTGTACGTACCTCACTTGAATGTTCTAAATAAAGGGTGGTTGTAAAGGTCTCTATGCTTACTCCAGACTGTCTTTCACTTTTTCTTCTCAGATTAGGCTTGCCTTGGCAAGACTTAAAGCTGATTTTCCACCCACCATTCCAAAATCCCTTCATCATTCCCAATAGTCTCGAAGAGTCCAACCACAACTCTTCGTCGTTAGTTCCCTCACTCGGCGGGTCATATTGAGGGACTAGGCCCGTCGATCGATGGGCCATACTTTAGATCAAGGTTCTTGGCCCATTGATTGACAGTTTGTGCCTTGGTCGGATCAAGGTTCTGTGCCCAATAATCGACAGTTTGTGGCTTGGTCAGATCGAGGTTCTAGGCTCATCGATTGACAGTTTGTGACTTGGTCGAATCGACGTTCTGGACCCATCGATCGTCAGTTTGTGGCTTGGTCGAATCGAGGTATGACGACCTTGTGGGCAGGTGTGTGTAAGCGTGTGCAGGAGACACCAGTAAAACTACCACACTAGGCGAGCTACAAGTACATAATCCCACATAGCTTGGGTGTGGATCGGGCAAGTGCTATATATAGATTCAACACCCTTCTATGACACAATGCATTTTAAAGTCTTGCTGGTTGTGAACTAACCAGAACTCCAGAGTTAAGAGTGATTAACCTAGAGTAGTACTAGGATGGGTGACCCCCTGGGAAGGTCTGGTTCGAGGGAGCTAAAAGCGGCAATATTGTGTCTGGCTAGGGTAAGGATTGTTACACGAGGTTCTGGGCCCATCGATCGTTAGTTTGTGGCTTGGTCGGATTAAGGTTCTGGGCCCATCAATTGTTGGTTTATGGCTTGGTCGGATCAAGGTTCTGGGCCCATCGATCTAGTGTTTGTGGATTTACTTTATGGGCTTATCGTTAGGTTACTAGTGCTGAGCTGGCCAGAGTCTATATATATCGAACAAATGTTGAAACATTTGTCTTGTTCTTACTTGTGGTCAGTGTGGTTTGAATATATAGCTAACGTGGCGTAACCTACATCCATAGTTGGCAACTGTCTTAGATCGTGATTTGCATCCGGTAGTTAATGTACTGAAGCATTTTTAAACTCTTTGATAGTAAGAAAAGCTCGGTGAGAACGCCTTCATCTCTCTTCAAGGCCAAGTTCTCCGATCTCACAACGGCGAATTTTTCACAGCCGCACTCAT